GGAGCAGTCAGTGTTTGCCATGTTAGAAAATGCTCTCTCTGGTCCTTGGTGGGGGACAGGGGCAGCATTAGGCTGTGGTACCTGTGGAGAGGGCTATGAAGATGCCTTGATGTGTGTTCTGGGCAGTGGCTGGGTACCAGCCCTTTTTCTAGGAGCTTCCGATAGGCATCATTGATCCTCCAACAACTCCAGGAAGTAGAAGGCAGCTTTCCCACATGACAGATGAGGAAACTGAGACTCACAGAGTATACTAAACATCCAAAGTCACACAAGATGTTGGGGAGATGGAATTTGTATCTAGGCTTTTCTGATTCCAAACTGGAGATGCAACACTTTCTATTCCCAAAGGCAAAAGCCCAAAAGCCCAAGACTGACTTCCTGAAAGGACCCAGATGGAATTGACCAAGATGGCTTCAAAGAATATAAAGTTGGAACCCGCTATCCTGATCAATTACTGCTTGCCTGGGGAAGTTTATTTAGAAATGAAAGACAGCTGCAGCCAAGAGCTTCATTCTGGGGTTTGAGCTAGACTGAGAATGGGGAGCCCCAGCTGGAATGAGAAGAGCCAGGCTAAGTCTGAAGGAACTGTCAGGCTCTACGGCCTGCTGGGCAGCTTTACCAGAGATACTTTAAAACAAGCCACTTATTTCCTTTCCATCCTGGATACCTTTGCATTTGTGTAGGCTCTTTAGTGCCTTCCTATGTCACTGAATGCATGCAGGGAGGGGGGGAAAGCCATCAGGCTGGGAGCCCAAAATTTTGGACTCAATCTTCATTTCTGCCACTGGGAGATCTTGAGCAAGTCATTTCTTCTCCCTGGGTGTCAGAAGCCCTTTCATTCTCTTACAGGGAGCCCAACCTTTTATCTTTTCTGCCCCACATTGAAAAAATAAGAGTTATCTTAGGCCACACATTAAATACACAAAGACTAATGAAAGTTGATTAGTCTGTGCATACTTTTCATAATATCCAACACCACAGATAAACAAAAAAGGTCCTCACAAAGTCAGCATGTGGTCCATGGGCTGCAGGTTGGATACCCCTGAAAGGGCTCAGTGCTTCTAACCCAGGAAAGGCACAGTGGCATTTCTTGGGACGTCTCTCTTGATCTGCAGGGTCAAGAATGGGTTTCCTACAGGGGATGAATGCCTGACCTGTGACAGAGGATAAATGGCCCCAAGCATGTGCCCTATCACATTAGCAAGGAAGTATTGCGCATTTGAGCATATTATTTCTTAAAACTAAACAAAGCAAAAAGCACAAATACCCTTCAACCATCTTTGGAGAAAGGTTTTCATGTTCTCTCCTTAAAATTGCAGCTTGCCTAGAAAATTGCCATGACAAATGTGTCTACATGAGTGAATAAAAACTCTGGCTCAGATCAGAGTTCCAAGAAGAGCTTGGGGGTTGGCTGGCTCCACAGTGACCCTCCCTATAGGAGGAGTGGACTCCCTTCCAGTGCTGGGGAGCCCCCTTTCCTGTGTGAGTCTCTGGAGAGGCAGGGGCCCTCCTCCCCAGGCCACTGACCTGCTCTCCCTGGGGGTCCTGGTCCTCCAGGGACAGAAGCTGAACCTCAGCAGTATCCTGCCTGACTCTCAAGCAGGAGGTGGAGGGAAGCCAGGGAAGCTGTGTCCAGTACCCACGTTATCATGCCAGACTTCCTGTGGCTAGGCCCAGCCTGGGACTGTCAGGTTTCTGGACTACTCTCACATCTTCAGTCTGGTTCTCCGGCCTTCCTGGCACTTCCTAGGGCTACCAGATATCCTTTTAGACCCTCTGAAACAAGACAGCAATAGTCCTTCCCACCAGCACCAAAGATCTCAGCCTGGTGCACACTCTACATGGCAGTGGCTTACCTAACCATCTGTGGACTTACACGTTTGTCACATATTCTGTTATTTCAAGATATCAAGAGAATACCAAGAATTCATGTAAGCTTCTTATACAGGCAGTCCCCAGTTATGAATGAGATAGGTTCTGTAGGTTTCTTCTTAAGTTGAATTTGTATGTAAGTTGGAACAGATACAGTTACCGACTACCAATAATAGTCTCTGTGTGTAAGTACAAGTTGTATGTAAGCTGGATGTTTGTTTCTGAGGGATTGCCTGTAAAGACTGAGAAGGGAGTTTGGGTCAGTGTCTAAAAGTAACACAGCCAATTCTATAAAGTCTTGGTTTGCCTGGGGGGTTTCTGGCCTCAACTGTTTGGCAGTGCCTCTTAAAATATGGGCTAGTTGCTGAGTCTTTTTCCTCATTTGTAGCCTTCAGTGGCCAATTCCAGGGTCAGGGACCCCTCCCTAACTCACTCAATATCATCTGATACCTTTTTATAGCTGTATGAGTAAGTACAAAAGTCTCTGGAGCCTACTTCCATTTTCCTTCTGAAGTTCCTCTCTGAGATAGATTCTTTCTCTTTAGAAGGACCAGCCTTGCAGGGCACAGTTATCTGTATTTCACTCGCTCTTAATATTTATGATTTTTGTGAGCCCCAACCAGCACTTTCTGACCTTTCTGCTTCGCCCCCTACTTATTCTCCGAGAAGTAAGTAGAATTGGGTTGAATATGAAATTCAACGTAGCATTAGCATCTCACAGCCAACACTCTGATTCTGTGGCCACAGATATCTCACCTGTAACTCTCAGGTTTGGGTCTGTCCAAAACCCAGGAAAGGTTGATATGGCTGGTCCTGGACACATACCAACGTGCCTAGGAAGTCCTCTGGAGCTGGCCATTAATAAACAAGGCAAATACCTCAGGAATGTATTACATATTTCTATTCACCCAAATGTTCTTAAAGCACTACTTGGGCTGTGGCATAAAAGACACAAAGAATCACAGAAAAATTATTTGATTTCCTACCAGTTAAATTTATCATCATATACATGTGGCTAAAAACTGGACTGTTTTCCCCACCCTGCTTGATACCGGATACAAGTATATTCCCTGTTCCTTCCAAAGGCATAACAATTTGGTGCCTAATCTAAAATCTTGTGAAATTTTGCCTGATTTAAATTTGGTGGCTAACCTCTATGGAAATTCCCCTTCAGACGGATGGTTGACAGAGAGCCAGACATTGAGAAGAATCACACAGGAAGGAACGTGTTTGTTCTAAAAAGGCAAACCTTCCTACTCAGAAAAGATTTTTTTTCCTGCCAGGAAAGTTGAAAACAACGGATTGTACAACTTCATCTTAACTCATGGATCGAAAAGACAAAGTCACAGAAAGAAGAGAGAAAGGGCATTGTGGGATACCCATGAATGTTCATTTTTTTCTTGGGAGTACTGAAAAAAAAAAACAACCGAAAACCCCAGCCTCTTCCCAAGAACTCTCAATAATGAAAATATCACCATGGTCCTCAAAATGGAACAGTAATTAATGGAAGTGGTATTTGGGGGAGTACAGATGACTCAGAATCCAACAACGGGATGTTAAGCAATGTCTTTCTGGATCCCATAGTTTAGTCCTCTAATAAAAGGCAACGTGCCCAGTGATTTTTTTCATCAACACAAGGGATTCCACATGTAGAAAACTTGTTAATTATTTCCAGTAGCCCTTCCTTGTTAACACTGTGGTCTATCAGAACACTCTAACCCTCTCATGAGGGGCACATATTACATCATCCTATAAAACTTTTAAACCAGAACTATGACAATGAGCAGTGAACCCCTTCTCTCTCTAACTTCCTAGGTGAAGGACTGCATTCGTTAAATGGCCAAAAGGCAGGGACAAGAGGTAAAGCCAACTCTAAATATTTGATCTGCCAAAAAACTGACCCTAAGTAGTGAACAACCTAGTGTCATTTTGTTCAGTTTCTATTATTAAAATTGGTGCTCAGACAACTTCTGTATGTGAACAGTGGAATAAAGGTGGACACGTGACATTCCTCCCAGCATTGAGCGTGGAATGCTCAGCCCTCAAGTAGCACCAGCATTCCAGAATGAGTCCCATTTAGGAGTTCATATTCATCCTAAACTCGCTGATGCTCTCAGCTCTTGCTCACCAGAAATAGGTGCAGGACTGAGAAGGGTTGGGAAGGATTTATTCTCTGCATGAATACTTCCTAACCCTTGTTAAGAGTGGGCTTGATCTCCATCCCGACATTTTAACATGTGGTGTCTCCATTGCTATCAGAGAATGAGTTAACAATCTTCTCTAAGTACATAATCGTCATGAATTTATCTCTCTTACAAATTTCTCACAGCAACACTAACTCTTCCAAGAAAGGGCAAGTCGCCCTGGAGAGAAAGCCAGATTCACTAAAGGGGATGCAGAAAGGCAACACTGTTGCACAGCTCATTGGCAAAAGCAGTTCCTGGCCAGCTGACTCCCCCCTTCCCCCCTGGATCTAAGTGTGGGTACCAAGTAAAATATGAGCTCTCTCTATTCCCCCAGGAACAACAATGGAGAGCTATAAAATTCCAAGGCCCCATTTTCTCTCCAACCTCTCCCACACCCCCACATCTGAGTCTCCAGCTTCACTGCACCCTCCCATGTCTGTGAGGCCTGCACACCAACTGCACTTGATGGATGTGAAGAGGGCAGGTAGGCAAAGGGAAAGAGAAGCTCCTGGGTCTTGGCAGTGTGAGTATGACCTCTTCAAGTTATTCAACTTGTTTTTTAAAACACCCAGTGTTTATGCATGGAGCATGGTGATTGGGAGGCACGCGAGGTTTCAGGGAAAGGTCTAAGAAAGATAAAATGGCTTCAGAATGGAAATCCAAGCTCTATAGAGGATACTTCCAGATTATTTTTCCTTTGGCTAGTTATAGGGAGAAACTTTCACATAATGATGGCATCCTGGAGAACAATGCTATTGCAGTAAGAACAAACCACAGACCTTTTCCATGGGGGCTTAGAAGCCAGGACAGGCATTTTCTTTGGTCTACCACAAACCCAACATCTTGGCTCAGAGACTGTTTTTACCCTCAAATCCCAGCTCCAACTCTACAAGTCACCAGCTTCCCTCGCCAGTTTCCCTCGTGCTGGGGAGGTTGACTTACCATCATCTCTTCTGGGTTCCCATTGGCTATTTCCACCACTCGTAGGGCAGGATCCACTTTCACCTTGGCTCGGGCCATGAACTGGATAACAGATGAACTGTCCTGTAGAGGAAACAACACAACATACTATATGATAATGACCAAGTCTTGAGAGGGACTGGACAGAACTGAAATTCCAAGATTCCATGCATCCCAGACAAAAGTTTTATCACTGAACTAGATACTTGTCCATGCCAGGCATCCAGATAAACATAGACTTCCAGAGGCTCTTTAGAGAATTCTTTCAGATCGTGGTGGGAGAACTGGAATTTGCCAGTAATCAACACATGCAAACTTTTGTGCTGTGGTTTGCAAGTGGTAAGAGCCAGATATTTGGATATTGATATTGACATGTTCACAAATAGTTGAAGATAAATAGAGCTGTTTTATTGTATACAACAGACCCAGGCCTGGCATTCTACAGAAGGTATCTGATCTACATTTTAAGGCTTTCCTGCCCTGACCACAACCCTCAAACCCTTCACATGAGTTACTTTAACTCTTTCTTTGCTCTTAAATGAAGTTGTTTGGGGGTCAAATCCAGTTAACATTGAAAGAGGGAACCTGATGGAGAGATGAGGAAGAGAAAACATCTGACTTATAAATTAAGTCTACGGAGAAAGGGGGCTAGAGATGGGAGCGTATCGAAGACTCCAGAATTGGGCCGGGCACCGTGGCTCACACCTGCAATCTTAGCACTCTGGGAGGCCGAGACAGGTGGATTGCTTGAGCTCAGGAGTTTGAGACCAGCCAGAGCAAGAGCAAGACTCTGTCTCTACTAAAAATAGAAAAACTGGGGGAGTGTCATGGCAGGTACCTGTAGTCCCAGTTACTCAGGAGGCTGAGGTAAGAGGATTACTTTAGCCCAAGAGTTTGAGGTTGCTGTGAGCTATGATGATGCCACTACACTCAACCCCAGAGTGACCCAGTAAGACTAACTCAAAAAACCCCAAGCACTCAGGAATTGCCCACCAGCCAGAGACAATCAGAAACTGATTCAAAGTTACCAATCCAAATAATGAGAAAATGGCTCCAAGAAGGCATGGAGATGCAATTTGGAAGGAGACAGGGACTGGCAAAACTGCAGCCTAGGGAAGAGTCAGAACCTGGAGCCAGTGGTACAGGTGGTGCTGCATTGATCATGGTGTGGAAGGGCCACCTGGATTCCACTGTGGGACAGGAGGGTGCAGAACTGATGCACTAGGTATTCCAATGCGGGGTGGCTGGGGCTCTGCCAACAGGGGTCTTATAGTATACCCACCCATATCTTCTCAGGTTGCCTGCCTTGCAAGGAGGCTTATACTCAGATGCCAGCTTTGACCCATTTCTGGCTAAACCAACAAAGAAACAGGAAAGTAGAAAAACTTTCTATAGAAAATAGAATTCTATAGAATTATAGAATTTACTTATAAAATAAAATTCTATAGAATTTTCTATAGAAAATAGTTCCAATGGGGCCCTCTGCTCATCTCCCCCAAAGAAACCACAAAGACCTTCCTGGGATGCCATACAAGGATCCCAGTTTGTTTACTTTACCTGGGAGTTATGCACAAATTATTTTTCTTTTCTTTCTTTCTTTCTTTTTTTTTTTTTTTTGAGACAGAGCCTCAAGCTGTCCCCCTGGGTAGAGTGCTGTGGCATCACAGCTCACAGCAACCTCCAACTCCTGGGCTCAAGTGAGTCTCCTGCCTCAGTCTCCCAAGTAGCTGGGACCACAGGTGCCCACCACAACACCCGGCTATTTTTTGGTTGCAGCCATCATTGTTGTTTTGGTGGGCCCGGGCTGGATTCGAACCTGCCACCTTAGGTGTATATGGCTGGCGCCTTAGCCATTTGAGCCACAGGCACCGAGCCTTATTTTTCTTTTTTAAAACAACCATAAAACATATTTTAAATGCTCCTGGGAAGCTCATTCATTCAAAGGAATTGCTCCAGTTAGCTCACATTAAGGAGTAAATAATTTCGTATGCAAATGATCGCTTAACCAATGTAACAGTTTTATATATTTGTGGTTTTATGTATCAGGGCATTCTATATTTTTAGTCTTGAATAAAAATAATCTTGCATATTAGTAATTATAATAGTAGCAATAATGATGATGATAATTGCCAAAGCTAAAGGCCGAGTAAACCAGGAGCGTGGCGCAGGATAGGCCCCCTGGGGTTATGGAATCAGTAAAGACAGCCTCTGGACTAGAAGAAGAGCATTTTCAAAGAAATCTGAATCCTCTTAAAAATCAGATCCTACACTTCAAATGAAAACTTGTTAAGGTCAAAACAATAAAACCTCAAATTCCCTTGCCTGGAGCCAGATCTTGAGGTCAAAAGGAAAATAAACATAACTGTAGGCCTAGGCAAGCCACAGAGCTGGCGCTGCTCCACATCCTTAGGGAGGCCTGGAGCAGCCTGGACTGGACTTCCCCAGGGAGGTTGTCACTGGCTTCAGGGGGACCAACACTCTGCATTTCAAGTTCTAGAAGCAGCTGGGGCCCCATCTGGCTTCCAAGCTAACTTCATTCTACACCATCCCCTGCACCTGGAATTTCTGCTTGTTTCCATTGAAAGTGCCCTTGGAGAATGATCCTCCAAGGCCTCATGTGACACCCTACAGCTTTTAGTTCTCTTGCCTGGGGTTCTACTGGCCTAGGTGGCCTATCACTACAGCAGTTTCTGGGACATATTGCTTGGCAAAGGGGCACTAAGAAAAATGTGGGAGAATCAGGCTTCAGAGTTACACACAAATGACTGAAGTGCAACAGCAGCTATCTGCATAGAGAGCAAAGGAGACATCAGAGTGGCTTTGGACCATCAGTGCCAACATCTGGGCTCTGTTGACAGTGGTGAGTGTGTCGCAGGCAATGAAACTGTCTTCAGTGCCATTTGTCAAGAAGATAGGACAGTTAAGTATGCACAAGCATAGTCCTTCCAACCTAACCTGGGAACTCATGTCAGGAAGGTGCTTTCTGTGATGTGGGGGCTTCCAGGCTCCCTTCTGGAATCAGAGGATGGCCAGTGATGCTCTAATTCACGCCTGGTCCTCCTCTAGCACCGTACTTTTAACAGGACAGCTGCATTAGGGAAGTGCTGCTGTGTGACCCCAACTTGCTGCAAACCAGCTCCCCTCCAGAACAAACCAGGGAGACCAGGACTGAGCACAGCTCTCCTGGGGTGTGTGAGGGCTGTAATAGCTACAGATAAAAACTGACATCCCCAATGCCTGCATCTTCTCAGATTAGCTTGTTACTGCTCTACATATTTAAAAATAACCATGGAATGACTTTTCTAATCTTTTTTTTTTTT